ATGCTTCCTAAGGGCTTGGGCATGCTTTCGAGCGCTGAAGTTGCTAACCTCCTAGGGGATGTGGGGGCATGCTCCCCCCGGGAAATTTTGAAATTTAGATGCTTGGAATTGCTTAGCCTGGGTTGCAGCCGGACGTGTCATAACATCCCCAATATAGTCCGTCTGCGAAATGGCTCCCAAAAGCTTGTTCTGATATCCCGCACAGATACACGGATCTGTGTATGCATTTCTGATTGGCTAGTTTCTTACGCTCGTTGTCATTGGTCAATGCTAACAATAGAGTGACAGACCTACACAACTCCTATCCATATGCATTAATAAATAGCCGCTTTGAAAGTTTTGCTCGAACTAGTGTATCTTTAAGGATCTGCCCCTTTTGTAAGATATGATAGGGGGATCTTTGAATATTTTGCTAGGCAATAATCCTGTGTTTTTAGGAGGACATTTCCAGAGTAGAGCCGTTAGAGGTCATAGGTCTGTGTGGTTTCCGCTGTTATCCGCGTGTAATTTGTAAGAGTTTGAGACCTATGTATTTTGCCACGTGCTAGTTTTTTTTCAGCTCATTTGTACTGCAGAATATGTTTTAAGCTCTCTAAATGTTAGCTCTGGAGGGACCAAGTTTGAACTATTCCCTGAACATGTTGGTTACTTGCATTTTGTATTATTACACCGGACCCGGCTGTTTGATTAACTGTTGCAAGTTATGCTGCTTCTTATCACAGCTGTCATATTTATCTTTGTCCGGCTTCACCAGAGAATATGGTCTTCCATAAGCGATTGCAACGGCGATTTAACAACAAGAACACTGGAACCACGAGGCTTTTCAAACAGAGCATCGGCAGTGATTGGAAGGCACTGGAAAATCAAAGATTTACCGTAGCCCGTCAGCAAATTTACAGAAATTGTTTGACCTCTGAGAAGTTCGCGAAGCGAATTTTCCTGTTCAGGTAGAAAATTATCGATTTGAATGAATGAATGAATACCTTTATTTAAGTGTCAAACTAAAATAGCAGTAAATAACCACTAAAATTAATAAAACTATTTACAATTGATAAAACGAGTATGAAATTAATGAGATTATTTACATGTGCATGATTGTTGAGTGTGGCTTAGAACTATTTACAAATACATATAGACTTAATAAAATACTAAAGTGTCTATCATGTACAACATAAAATAAAGTCAGAACAATGAGCATCAGCCAGTAAGGAATTTAAGTCAAACTTTCTAATACGCTGCCTAAATTTCAAACTGCTCCCTCGCGGATTTGAATGCTTTTTGCCAATCTTCTGTTATTGTAGACATCTTATTTCCAACTCAAAATAGAGTTGACGTTTATAAAAATGTAAATGTTCTTGGGAAACCTGCACACAATTATTTTTAGCATTACATGACAGTTGTGTGATTGCTTTCGCAAGAATTATTCAATCAGAAAATACATAAGAAACTAGCCAATCAAAAATGGATACACAAACTGCGGGATATCGGAACAAGCTTTTGGAAGCCGTTGTGCAGACGGACTATACCGGCGGTTTAGACTGTCTGCGACGCAAGCTAGGAATTGCTATTTTCAGCCATTTTCCAGTCAGTATTTGGACCTAAAGTACAATCGAACCTATGACTATTTTTACCATGTTTATGTTTAACAACCGTTCTTTAACTCAAAATCTCAACGGCCTCAATCAGATAATCTCTCCTATCTTTAATCTTCCTTTGAATTTGGCGCAACCCTTATCTTCTGCTGAAGATGAGAAGACCTTGGCAGCTTTCCCCTGTCTCTCTTTTCCTTCCATAATGCCATTTGTTGATAATACAGCTTCATATTCTTTTACTGGTGACCCACTAATAAAAGTATGAAGCAGATGATCGAAGATCTCTTTCCTTTTTCCTTAAGCATGTTTTTAGGTGTTTTAGGGCGCTGCTCACTCAGCTGAGAGTGAAAAAAAATACTCAGCAATGCCGGACTCGATTTATTCAATGACCCGTTGACATTGTGCATGAGAGACAAAAACACATTTAAACTCTGGAAATGCATCTTCACTTTGACTTAGATGTTTAAAACAATCACTGCATTCTCAGTTCCGAAATTCGTTGTCAGTCTATGTTGCTATGGGTGTCGCTTTCTCTATTTTGCTGGAGTAGTCTGTCGTTCATTGCCAATTCATAGCTCTCATGCCGCCGTTTCAAGGCCATGTCACTTGTCGGAATTTACCCCTAGTAGGGTCTCTTTGTTTGGCTGAATATCGATTTATTTACGAGAAAATCGATAATAACCGAATTCCGTCAAAATGCCACTTTTGGAGCTCAAAATTTAAGATGAATCTTGAAGCTTTGCATCACAAAATCAAACAACCTAGACCAATAGAAACTATCAAATCTTGAAAATCAACATCAAAACATATGTTGACAGCAATTTGAGCAATTCTTGTCAATAGACCCTTCTCCAAAATGGGGCCCGCCGAGAGAGGACTGGAAACTGGGGGTACGAAGTTTCAATATGGCGGAAGTGTAGAGAGAAATGTGCTGCAGACTGGAAACTTCGAGAGATCTATTTTAGAGTTTGCAAATAAGTGGCTCGAAAGCAAGAAGGGAAGGAAAAAAGGAGACAAGTACTACCTGGAAACATACCTCGAGAACATCAAAATATTGTTTTCTGAGGATTGCTGCGTTGTAAAAGCAAGATGTTATCGCTCGATGAGGAAAACCGAAGCACCACATAAACTAAGAATTGTATTTGATGGTTCCGAAGAAGACAGCATTGAAGTTACCACTCAATGTTCATGTAAAGCTGGAACTGGGAAATGCCAACATTTAGCTGCTTTGTTTACACATGTAACGGTAAAATTACACGATGACAACTCTCCAACCTCCCATCCACAACAGTGGCATAAACCTCGAGGTCCTTCGCTAGAGCCACAAAGATGGTTTGCTTCCGAGTTTGTGAAACCATAAATAGATCGAAAGCCTTGCGAAATAGCACCTAAGACTGTACAGGAGTATTTATACGATCCCAGACCTATCAAACAACAGCTGATTACCGAAAGACATGTTCAACACCTTGGAGAAAACATCTCAGTTGAGAGTCCTACCACTTATGCTTCTTGGCTTTGATACTCTAACTCAGCAACCCACAAGTCCCTTCCATGGGGGAATTCTTTAGAAGGCTGTCCTTTAGCAAATCAGTTAAGGGATATATATCCTCCGAGCTTTGTAGATACTGTTTACAGTGAGGACCTTGAGGCAGTGTTTGACTTTCCCGTAGAAATTACTTTACCAGAACATGTTAGGAAAGGGCCACCACCAACAGTGCCAGAAGAAGAAAAACCCTTCCTATCAAATGTCATGTTATCTCAAGAAAAAGTGTTGGAAATTAAGAAGAATACGAGAAGTCAGTCCAGTTGCTCAACTTGGCACCAAGAGCGAGCATTCAGAATAACTGCTTCAAGATTCGGTGAAGTTGTTTCTAGAAAAGCACCAGTTAATGATAGGTTCTTACATACTTTATTTTCATCAACAAAGGTGCAGACTGAGGCCATGAAATATGGTCTAGACATGGAACCAATGGTTGTCAAAGAGTTCAAGGAATTATCAGGCCCTCAAGTAGAAGTTTTCAAATGTGGGTTGTTGATTCATCCTGACATTTACTGGATGGGTTGTTCGCCTGATGGTATTATTTATGATCCTAATGAGAATCCATCGGTTGGAATTCTGGAAATTAAGAGCTTGTTTTCGATAAAGGGAAAGTCAATTGAGGAATGCTTAGAACTTAAAAGGGACATTTGTATTCATCGAGATAAAAATGGAGAAATAAGACTCAAACATAACCATAAGTATTACTTTCAGCTACAAGGCCTAATGG